AGGAGGAGTGTACTTCGAAATATGAGGAGAAGTGTTAGCCCCGTGAGGTTCAGTACGAGCAATGCGAGATTCGATGCACTAAGCACTATTTGTTTTCGCGTCTGTCCCTGGAGAACCACTCCACGGAGTAAAGTTGACGTTCTTGCAGTAGTATAGTGTACAAAAGCATCTCGAGCTCTTTTGATGTCTTATTGGAAAAGCTTGATGATCTGGATTAGGCAGCGATATCGGAATCTTCCTTCATTAAACATAACTGTGAATGGTATGGGAAGCATCAGAGCCACCCCAGTATAGAGGCGAGAATATTTACAATACTGTGATTAGCTGCATGTAAGTAGACGCCAGGGCACGAAGAGCCGCCGCAGCACGAGATGTATCTTCAACCACAAGAGAGTACTGTAGCGATCCAATAAGCCGGGCCTGTCTCGCCAGTATCTCTGCAGCGTTGTCAAAACCCACGCGGGACAAACAGGTTGCTGCGTCCGCGGCGCGGCGCGTGCCAACTCGAACCGCGAAGTAGATTAGATGGCCGCGAAGCTTCGCATCGCAACCCGCCTCGACCAAGGCGGCTAAGCGCTCCGCGGCTTCTCGGTTCCCTACCGACCCCGGGGGCGTCTCGTGCTCACCGACCATCCTAAGCCATCTTGCACCTGCGGTGATGGACCTCCGGATAACATCCTCCTCTGAAACGGCTTCCACTCTTCGAAAATCAGTGCGCATCATGTACGGCTTCCCGTAGGTGATTTTGTCGGCGCTCCATGCTTCCATGAAATCGCTCAAAGGTAGCGTAGCGTAGGGATAGCCCTCAGGATCATGGATCTCGACCTCGTCGCCTTGTACGCCGAGAACCACAACGTAGTGGTCAGCACCTATTGGACCATCCATGTTGGGTTGGTATCGCAGGTTTCCCATCTCTACAGGGCCGACAAAAACCGGTCCCTTCTCGAGTTTCTCTCTAAGTCGTGCAAGGGCCTCGTTCCCGTCCTTGCTAATGACTTGTGTTGATTCCCATCCCATGGTTTTGATGGCTTGCTCAAAGCCTGCAATTGGTGTCCATCCGTAAGGCTCAAAGAACGGAGTGTCGCCGACCATCTGCATTCCAAACGGACTTGAGGTTGCGAACTCGATAACAGCTGTTGAAGGAGCGTCCTTGCCGAGCAGCATTGCGAGGGAGTTGGAGTAGCAGTATGGGCCGGAGCCTATGTACGGGATGTGTTTCACGGACATCGTACTGGTATAAGGCTTAGTGACTTGCGTCAGTAGGGTTTCAATTAGCGGCTTGTTCTTTGAACAAGATCATGAGCGAGGAGAAAAGGGAAATTGAGGGGTTGATGCCAAGATTCGCCGGGCCTCTTATAAGCACACGTGCAGAGTGGTGTAGATTGGCAGAAACCCGGAACTTGACCGAGCCAAGCTTGGCGATCTTCACCGAGAACTATGGACGCTCTTCGAAATTGTTCTTCGGGCCGATTAGTAATATGGAATTTTTTTCGAATCAGAAATTTCTCAAACAAACAAATACTGTCTTTCTTGGCTGGACGTTTCTGACATGGCGTGTTTGAGTCCTTGGCACAACAAGTCACCCTGGTGTCGGTAGCGTTCAGTGACAGCGCCGCGATCAACAGTAAAATTCACAGTGGTACCTTCGTTCACACCAAAGAGAAACTAAATATGGACTGAACCCCCTTCAACATCCTTCCATCTCTTCCCTCGTCCCCGAATCCGGATCAAACCTCATCCCCCATAGATCAAGCAAATCGATTTCGCCATCAACACAGATAAATTAACAAGGAACGGCATAACTAAGCATAACTTATAGGGCCCGCGTAACTTACCAGTAAATAAGGAACAGAACCCGTCAAGAATCGTCCTATCGCCAGACCGGCAATGCTGCAATGACAGCAGCATGCCAGCCATGGTGAGAGCCCAGCAGTTCCCAAAACACGCTTGAGCTATTGTAATTGCTGGGCAAACCCCCTTTTTGTCAGTATCTATCGCCTGGAGATGGAAATTTATTTCAAATTTCGAGAACTGGAATGACCCGCTTGCGCCATTCGCTGGCTGGTTATCCCTAGACCAGGGCATATTGTGAAGAGTTCCATGTCAATGGGCTGCTGTCACACGAACAACAGTGACAGGTGGCAGAACCGGCAACGGTAGGAACTGGCAACTGCGAGAACTGACCATCGCCAGTTCTCACCCAAACTAGAACTCCATGCGGTCACAACTGATGTATATAAGAAGTGCCACACACACACACCTACCTTAGAGAAGAATAACCTTTCCTTACCATGACTTACTGAACCATAACACTGTGCTACTGAGATCACCAACACCTGTCACAATAGACAGAGACCTGTTACAATCCTAACACTAGCCCGTTGACGGTATCAGGTGGATACAACTGGTGACAGGATTGAGATGTTGTCTGTTGGTGGTAGAGTAAGGCAGTCAAGCAGTGTTCACAAGATATGGGTGAGAAGTGCGTATTCAAGTGTAGGGGTGTAGTTGTACTTGAATTGACTACTGGAGAGTCTTGGAAGACAAACTAGATACATGGTAGAACCCGTAGTTTATATAGACGTTTCCCTTCCAAGCTCTCCCTGGGACCGATGCTCCTCTGGTGTCGGTCCTAATGAGGACCGACCATATTCCCTCGTCGGTCCTGCCCTGGACCGCCGGGACCGCCCTGTCGGTCCTGTCGGTCCCAATTCTATTGGTCCGTGATCTCCCGTGGTTTATCCTTTTCTGCCACGCCTGACCGCCTTGGGCCCTCAAAACGGCCAGCCCGTGACAAGACCCTTCTAGCATCGACAGAACTGCCACGCAGGAATATCTGTCGTAATAGCTGCTTCACCGCTTCATTGAGGTCTGGCTACTGAGGTATACTGGGCATGAATAACGAGAATTATTATTTATTAAGTTTAGGATCTTTTTAGCTTTATAGATATCTTTTTTTATTATAATTTTAATAAATTTTTCTATAAATATATTTTTATATACTAGTTTAAAAAATACAATATAAAAAACTAAGTTAATTTTTATATTTTTAAATAGTTTAAGTTTATAATTAATTTTTAAAATCTTTTTTTAATAGTAAAAAGTCTAAGTTTTTTATAGTCTAGCTTATTACTTAATTAATTATTTAATTTTAATTTAAAAGTTCTTAGTTTCTAAATTTTTTTAAAGTAAAAAGTATTTTAAAAAGTTAAATAGTTTATATATAAGTAATCTACACTTTACTATATAAACTTTTTAAAATATTTTAAATTAGAAATAGATATATTAAATTATAATCTAAAAGTATAATTAAACTATTAAAATAATAGGTTTTATTTAATAATATTTATATTAAAAAGTTTAGTAAACTTAAATTATAGCTCGAGGTGTCGGAGGTGATATCTGTAATACCTTGCCTCGTAAAAGCCGAAAGCCTCACAATACACCGCAGAGTCCTGCAAGAACGGGATGATCTCAATGTTATTTCATGGGAGCAGATTGACATCACTACCTCGAGAACCTGTCGAGCACACCCAGTTCATATCCCACGAGTGAGTGAACTCGCTGAGCAGGACCATCTAGCTTCGAGAGGTCCAACGTTACACGTCACACGTCACCTTGCGCCAGCACCTCGATGTCTACATCGCCCGTAGCTATAAGAGGCATGGAGCAATAGCCCAAGCGGTGTTCCAATGCTCTGGTACCTTGGTCTTCATAAGTACGCGGACTCCCTGAAGAGCCAGTTTATGATATTGCTACCAGGGGCAAGTTCTTCCCACGCGACGTTAGCAGTTAAGCCTCCGCACCCGAGTTCATCTAGGCGATCCTCCAGCAACTTGAATAATCAGCTCGAATATCGGTGTATAGAAGGAATAAATAGCAGTAGTAGAGACCCTGGAGTTCACGAGAGCCGGAGTCGGGTGCTCCAAGACCGTAGCGGCGTCAACAACGAGCTCTGCTGCTCTCCTACACTGCGTGCCTTCTACCAAAACCAGGTCTACATATGTGGCATTGGGCCCACTTTCGAGCCTCTCTCTAGGTCTCGGGGAAGTACTCGGCGAGAATTGTGGTGCGAGGGAAGGTGATGCTTCACCTCCAACTATGGTGCTTCTATCCCTGCGTAATCTCAATCCCAAATACGCATTAGAATGTCTTACTCGAACAGATGCTAAAGGAGAGAGCAAGGAGATGAAGAGAGAGAGAGAGAGAAAGCCAGCGGCTTGTATGTGTCTGGACCTCAGCTGTTGTTGGATTGGCACGCAGCCGGATTGTAAGTGATGCCCCACGTCCGCGCTGCAATACAACTTCAAAAAGCAGTAACCTCAGTCGTGGATAAATGAATTGACCCGGATCTAGTTGGGGACTGCTAGCCCGATGCAACACGAATATCGGCCCATGGGAGAGTCGCTGCAACTAAAGATCTTGAAGCACCCCGCTTGTCCGTTTGCTTCGATGATGAGGGGGCACGAGTATTGGGCAATTGTCTTCGTATTGGCCTCGAAAGTGTATCAAAACTGATGATCTGCTGAACAGGACTTGCCTGTATTTCATTTCCGAAGTCGTCTTTGGTCGAAGCTTGATCTCTGCGGCATCCCCTGGTACTGCGAGTCTCGTACAAACAGGATACGTGGTCAGTCCCGTTCTCTGCATCGGTTCAATGTTCCCTCTCCGGCCTTTGCCAGCCTCTCGGGCAGGTAACATACTCGGAATACTCGGGTCGGATCCGGTATTATGACGTCCCGTTGCCCTTCTTGTTGAGGATAGTTCCTGTGGGGTTCTGGAACAGTGGGAGTGCTTGCCATTTTGAGTGTCTGGATAAATAGAAGGAACTATGGTCACAAAGCTCCATGATTCACAGAGATGAAACAACAATGAAATCTCCAACTGCTCCCCATTTCTATTTCTCACCCTTGTCACATATTTTGCACAGAAAAAAGTCTCGCAGGGACAGACGAAAACCCTAATTTGCAATTTCTTTTCTTCAAAGATAAAGAGCAAAGATGTCCAGGCCAAAGCCCCCCGCCAGCCTCCTCAAGTCCGTCGAGGACACCAAAGTCGAATACCGTCGCCTGGGACAGAGCGGCCTGCGCATTTCCGTGCCCATCTTCGGATGCATGAGTTTTGGCGACTCGAAGAGCTTGCCATGGGCCATCGAGGAGGAAGAGGTTCGTTTCTCAAGAAAACTGTCTTTGCCCGCGCGTTGCTAACATGAAGCGAGAATAGGCCCTGCCTCTCCTCAAGGCCGCCTACGATATGGGATTGAACACCTGGGATACCGCCAACATGTATTCCAACGGCCAGTCCGAAGTGATTATCGGCAAGGCCTTGAAGAAGTACAACATCCCTCGCCACAAAGTCGTCATCATGACCAAGCTCCACTGGGCCGTCGGCGAGGATCCCAGTAAGATCAAACCTCACAACAAACCCTCCAGCTCACTCCTCCCTTTTTCCCACCTCACTAACCCTCATCGCAGAAGCCACGCAATGGATGCACGCCACCGAATTCGCCCAATCCAAAGACTACCAAAACCAATACGGCCAATCCCGCACCTCCATCCTCAACCAAGTCGAAGCCTCCCTCACCCGCCTCCAAACCCCCTACATCGACCTCCTCCAAATCCACCGCTTCGACCGCTCCACTCCCATCGACGAAACCATGCGCGCCCTCCACGACCTCGTGCAATCCGGTAAAGTCCGCTACATCGGCGCCTCCAGCATGTGGGCCACCGAGTTCGCCCGCATGCAGTTCGTCGCCGAGAAGAACGGCTGGACGAAATTCGTCAGCATGCAGAATCACTATAATCTGCTCTATCGCGAGGAGGAGCGCGAGATGAACCGGTTTTGTAACGATACGGGCGTCGGGCTTATTCCCTGGGCCCCGCTTTGTAGGGGCCATCTTGCCAGGCCGCCGAAGGACTTTGGTTCGACCGATAGGAGTCGGTTGGAGAAGGAGGGCGCGCCGGGTAGTCATGGGACCGTTGAGCCGGATATTACTATTATTAAGAGGGTCATGGAGATTGCTGAGAAGAGGGGTTGGCCTATGTCGCATGTTGCATTGGCTTGGATTAACAAGAGGGTTTCGAGCCCGATTATCGGGTTTAGTAGTGTGGAGAGGATCGAGGAGGCTGTAGCTGCGAGGGGAAAAGGGTTGACGGAGGAGGAGGAGGCGTATTTGGAGGAGTTGTATCAGCCGAAGCCCATCGCCGGTCACTCTTGAGGTTACTGTAATCGGGGTAGATATGCAGCAGATACCCAAGTCGTCCGGCCAGGGAGGACTCTCGGAATAGCATACGACGCATACCGATGAATATCAAAAACTTGTCAAGCTAGTGTGGCGGGTTGCGCAGAATACGTAGGGCGTGAACCACAAATTTGTGGATTTCAGTATCAACCCAACTACCCAGTAGCTACAAGTCGGAATCAAGATGGCCAACATGTCCTCCCGCCCACCCATCCAGTAAGGAAGATGGCTCCTATAATATAAACAGATATGACAACAGCGGCATCTTCGGGAAGAGAAAGTCAAGGAAAAGAGGGGAAAGAAAACGCCCAGACATTCCAACTATATCCACAGAACACGAGCTGATGAACGAACCCACTCGCCAAAAGAAACAAAAACGGACCTAACTCCCTCGAATAGAAGTAATGCTCTTCCTCCTCTGCTCCTCCCTTTCATCCTCCTCCGCCAGAGCCTCCTCCTCATCAGGCTCCTCCGTGATCGTTTCGGCCCTCTCAATAGCCGCAATCTCCTCCTCCGATGCATCTTCGATTAGCGACCCGTGGAGCGACTTCACGGGAGGGTCGATGTGAGAGGACTTCCAGCTCGTGGAGGTGGGGGATTGTATCATTTCGCGGAGGTTCTCGGGGTTGGAGTCCTTCCAGGCAGCCGTGGTTGGAGATTGCAACCCAGTCGGGTTCGAAGAGGCTGTCGATGAGGATGATTCCCTCGACCGGAGGGGCGGTGGGGTCTCGGTCTTCTTAGGGGCATCCTTACCCTTGCTTTGTTTAGACTCTTCTTCTTCTTCTTCGTCGTCGTCGTCGTCGTCATCATCGTCCTCCTTGTCCTTCTCCGCCGCCTTGGCTACCTCCTTCTTCTCACCCTCGCCCTCGCCGTCTTTGGCCTTGGCCCCATCCTTGCCGTACACCTTCTCCCTCAAGCTCTGTAGTCGCATCTCCTTGGCTTTCTTAGCAGCCTCGTCGGCGATGGAGTGGATCGGGAGCACCGTCTGCGTAGGAGCGGTCGTCGAGGACGCCGGCGTAGCGGATTTGGGCGTCGTCGTCTCGGTCTTCTTTGGGGGAGCAGGGGCCGGGGGTGCGGGCTTCGCGATGGCGGGAGCGGGTTTTGGAGGCGGCGGTGCCTGGCTGATCGGGGGGATGGTAAAGTCGTCATAGTAGATTTTTACGTTTTGCTTGAGTTCTCCGTATTCGTTCCACTCCTCAATCTCGACGAGGTCCTGGCAGGCGCAAGAAACGGTTAGCCACCATGCCAATCAATCCAACTCCCTCATCCCTCATCACCGCCTCTTTACCCATAGATGGGACACCAGATGGAGGGAGAATTTCGAGTCCAGCCTACTTACTCCGAGGACCATACCCTCCTGCACTAGCCCGGGCAGCTTCCTTAACCTACCCCCCGCATCCTTTCCCGCACGACGACCCCAAAGCATCCGAGCCTTTTCATCCGTGGCAATGTCGACGGCCTTGAACGGAACCTTGTTCGCCCTGAGGATGGTCTCCAGCCGCGAAGTAGCCGTCACGATGTGTGACGAACCGGCCGTCAGAGACGTAAAGATCCAAAGCGCGGGATCGGTCGAAAAGGTGGTCCCGGAGGAAGACATGGTTTTCTTTTTCTTTTTTCCCTTTTTTTTTTTCTTTTTTCTTTTTCCGAGGACGGGTACTGTTGGGCTGGTTGGTGGATGACGTGAGGTGCAGTTCAGGGGTGGGCCGGATTAGAAGTCACTCAACGGGGTAGGCAGGTTATCGTCGATCGTAGGGGCCTGGCAACTGGCTGTAAGCTGGGAGAGTGGACCGCCGTCGGCTATATCGGTTTATTCGTGGAGTATATTCATTCGGCAGGATTGATTGAATGGATTGAATTGCTTGAAGTCAAACTGGAGAGACGTGCCAAGAACTGGATTCGGGTGTGGTACGAAGGGGGAAGGGAGAGAGCGAAAGGCGGGGGCGGGGTAAATCGAGTCGAGGTCGAAGCCGAAGATGGAGTCGACACACGAGCCTGCTCGGTTCGGGTCTGGCCGTGGACAATTGAGGAATCGAGGATTACGCAAGACGGGAGATTTAAGACGGATCAATTGATCAATATTAAAATCAAATGTAGCCACGAAGGAGGTAAACAGCCATGTCGACGGTAATTTTTTTTTTTTTTTTTTTTTTTTTTTTTTTTTGGAGCGGATTTGAAGAATCAAATATGCAAAATATGGGCATGGCATGGAACAGAAACGCACTGCAAATTAACATGGAATTAATACAGGGAATTGATAACCTCATCAAATATCAAATGTTAATTCCATCTCTAAGGTTGGCAGGACCCTCTAGGGTCGTTCCTGTGGTCTGGCTCATCTCTCTATGTGAGGAAGGCACCGCCGCCAGCTACAAAAACAGAAGCCTACAATTGTTCCTAAACTAACTATTATTCCCAAACCAACTTTTATTTCTAAACTAACAGTGTGATAGTGAAAAAGGGGATATCGGTGAAAAGGGGGACATTCTCACATGACTGCAAGGATGGGCCGGAAGAACTTTATTCCCTGCCATGAGCTATGACCATGGTTATTTCTTTTCTTTCCTTCTTCCAGAGGGAATTCTTCAAGTTTCTTAACAACTTCCTAAAGTTCTTGAAGCATGATAATCATTAATCCTTCTTTTAATGGACTTCTTCTTCATCTTTTTTACAAATCTGGTCTGGCCCTATTTCCGGACAGTTCTTCTATTGTTTTATGTGTCTGAGTGTCCCCTATTTGACACTCTCATGATCTTTGGCTTCCCCCTATTTGGAAGCCTCCTTTGGTTGTGATACAGCCCTATTTCCATTGATCAACCATTCCGACATCTCATTTCCATTCCTGCAGGCGGAATTGCAGCAGCTTCTTGCAGGAACCATTCTTGACCATTTGACCATTTGTTCCTTGTTTCCTGTGGTGTGCGGGCAGGCTGCACTGCTCTGTCTCAATAGTTATTCCGAAATTAATAGTTATTTTATAATTAACAAAGCTAGTGAGACGGAGCAGTGCAGCCTGCCCGAAACACCACAAGAAACAAGAAAGGAAACAAGGAACAAATGGTCAAATGGTCAAGAATGGTTCCTGCAAGAAGCTGCTGCAATTCCGCCTGCAGGAATGGAAATGAGATGTCGGAATGGTTGATCAATGGAAATAGGGCTGTATCACAACCAAAGGAGGCTTCCAAATAGGGGGGAAGCCAAAGATCATGAGAGTGTCAAATAGGGGACACTCAGACACATAAAACAATAGAAGAACTGTCCGGAAATAGGGCCAGACCAGATTTGTAAAAAAGATGAAGAAGAAGTCCATTAAAAGAAGGATTAATGATTATCATGCTTCAAGAACTTTAGGAAGTTGTTAAGAAACTTGAAGAATTCCCTCTGGAAGAAGGAAAGAAAAGAAATAACCATGGTCATAGCCCCTGGCAAGGAATAATATTCTTCCGGCCCATCATCCTCGCGGAATCTTGAGAACGTCCCCCTTTTCACCAATGTCCCCTTTTTCACCATCACAATAAATTGTTAAGTTAATTCGCGCATATCGTCTTCCCCAAGTCACCAAAACCCACGTCAGTCTATCGGGATCCGGAGTTCTCCCAAGACTTGGATAAGTTCGTTAACTTCACAATACATAGTCCGAAAATACTCCGCGACTGTTACGGTCGCGTGGTAAGCATAGGAGCACCTAGTTTGGTTACCATTATTGCAGAACAATTGGCGTGATGGACGCATGGCAAGTGGAGCCCCTCAAAATTTACGCCAACCGTATTCGTACACGAATACGCCCGATCGCAGCGGATGACACCTCTGGTGAGGGGCTAGCGTCGTATCAGGCAGATGTGGACGGGTTCGATACAAGCCCGTAGTTCCGCGTCCGGCTGTTTGGCTTAAGCACGACGCCCCGATCTGTTCCCAACCTTTCTTCTCAACACCGTCCCTTTCCCCCCTCCTCCTCCAAGCTACCTTTATCCCTACTGCTCTGTAAATAAGATGGCGGATGACAAGATGGAAAAGTCGCCTCCCGGCTCAAAGTCATCATCGCCTCCGCAAAAGTCCAAGTCTCCTCAAGGCTCACAACCGTCTAGCCCGCCCACCGCAACTGACCATGCAGCCCAGAGCCCTACTGGAATAATGCCTGCTGAGTATTGGGCGCAGGTGGGTTAAGGAATTGCATATGATACGCCACGGCGTTACTCTGACTGCCAGCTTTTAGCAACCGATTGAAGATGATGAGCAGTCGCTGCTTGGGGAGTCCATTAATACGTCGACTGCCTCCCTCTTGTCAAGCATTCTGAACTATCGTACTGTTCACGGGCGACGGTACCATAGCGAGGTCGGAAATGCCTTATACTGGTATTATTATTATTCAAACTCTGGCGGTAGGCTTGTGGGCGCATTGGCTGATCTTATCTAAGGGGGTCGAACGACGAGCAGCAGAATGAGTCGATGGACATCAAGTATACGCACACCTTTGCGACGCCTTTTGGGGTTTTGCTGACTGTCATATAAGTCACTACGCGCTGACGCTTGGTATCGGCAATAAACTGTTCCTGGCGCCTCTAGACAAGAATAAAGTCCAGGTAAGGTAGCCCCATCTTACCCCCTCACCAATATCCGCTATTTAACCTCCTCTATAGCGTGTCCTCGATGTTGGAACAGGAACTGGTATTTGGGCCATGTGTGTCAGGTTTCAACACTTATTAAGGCCACTAGACTAATCGCAATGCTAGCGACTTTGCGGATGAGTTTCCAGAAGCAGAGGTAGTCGGAACAGACATCTCCCCTATTCAACCAAGCTGGGTCCCACCAAATCTCAAGTTGTAAGTTAACTATGACTGTGATAACTGATATAAGCTGTCTGTACTATTGTAGGTAGAGCTAAACATCCCTTGGTAGTGAAATCGAGGACTGCACGCACGATTAGACATTCAGCCCTAACTCCTTCGACTATGTGCATCTCCGCTGGCTTACAGGGAGTATACCTGATTGGTACTCACTTTTTAAAGAAGCTTTTCAAGCAACTAAACCCGGAGGTTGGGTCGAAAGCCACGAGACGTCATCTATTATCAGGAGCGACCATGCAATAATTAGGGACGAATCTGCACTAGGCCAATGGGGAAAGTTTTCCCAAGAAGGGGGAAAGATGACTGGGCGTACTTTTAGGGCTGTGGAGGATAATTTGCAGAGAAAGGTGATGGAGGCTGCTGGATTTGTCAATATCCAGGAGTATTCTTATAAGGTAGGGCTAAACTTTGCTAGAAATCTTTTTTTTTTTATAAGTGCTTACTGGTTGATAGAACCCGTTCGGAGACTGGCCGAAAGACCCGGTATTAAAGGAGATAGGCAACGTGACCATGGTAGGTCTGGTAGGAGATATTGAGGGGTTAATCCTTTTCATAGCAAGCACTCTTGGCTGGACAAGAAAGGAGATCCAAGTCTACGTCGCACACGTTCGGCGAGAGTTGCTGTCGGGTAAATATTACCCGTACTTCTGGCAAAAGGTTGTATGGGGTCAGAAGCCTGAGTGATAGGCGGTATCTTACTAATATTTAATATATTCTTTTTCTATCTTAAAAATACCTAAAGTTCCCTTAAATATACTGAGACGGAGCAGTGCAGCCTGCCCGAAACACTACAAGAAACAAGGAAAGAAACAAGGAATAAATGGTCAAATGGTCAAGAATAGTTCCTGCAAGAAGCTGCTGCAGTTCCGCCTGCAGGAATGGAAGTGGGACGTCGGAAATGGTTGATCAACGGAAATAAGGCCGTTTCACAACCATTGGAGGCTTCCAAATAGGGGGAAGCCAAAGATCATGCTAGTGTCAAATAGGGGACACATCCACATGTAAAATAATAGAAGAACTGTCCGGAGTCACCACACAAGATGATCCAAGAGAGACGATAATAATGAAGTCAATTGAAAGAAGAACTAATGACTATCATGCTTCAAGAGCTTGAGAAACTTGTTAAAGAACATGACATGGCAGCGCCTCTGCAGGAACAGCTCAGAACAGAGCGCTAAATGCCAGGGCAGATCGATGATGTGACCTGACCTGGTCCATCACCCATGCAGAGCTTTGTGCCTGAATGGACACTATGAGGTCCAAAGGCGCCAATGGCATTGAGAATCAATTGGCAACCAATCGTTCTGTCCGCAGAGCCGAGTCTAACCCACGAGATTTTGCTCAACGGTCACGAAGAGCCATTTATTGTGGACGGATGTGGGCGAATCGCCACGAGAGGGACGGCGGTGGGGGACTCGTTCCTTTCTGTCCTTTGGCTCCCTGGTATCAAACTTTGAACCCGACTCAAAAGCCTATCCCATTCCTTTTCCAACGGCTTGGACTGCGGGGGCAATAGCCTGGCCAATCGTTCATCGTTCACCCAGTTCTGTTGCAGGCCTGAAGTTGATTCATTTTCCCTTTTTCTGGTTGACTACGATTCTTCACTCTCCCAGGACAAGTTCCTCCCCTTTTAATTTTTTTCCTGTATTTATTTATTTATTTTCCCTTGACAAGTAGATCATTTAGGTAGTGTCCGTAGCATCTGAGTAAATCCCATGGTCCAGATGTGTGATTCAAGATAACCCGTCAGCCCAAG